CGCGTCCTGTGGATGTACCTTTGTTGCGCGCCGGAAACGACTCGACGCCGCTGAGATCGGAGATCAAGCTCTGACAGGTCGCACGTCGCTCCTTTGACGCCGACGTGATTTACCCGTGCAGATCACATCAGGACACGGTCTCGACGCGCTCGGTACGACGCCTGCGACCCGTATCGGGTCAGGTGGCACGACGCTCATCGCGCCTGCCAGCGCTGCCGTGCAGGTTGCCACGACGAGGTCGAGAACGCTTCTATACGCTCGCCGAGCCTTCCTTTCCATCCCATTAGGCAGCCTGGGAACGGTGGCGATCAGAGGCAAAGCCTACGAGGGGTGGTGGAACCACATGTCACGGCTACTGCCGGCTCGACCCCACGATAGCCTCCGGAGGCTGACTTTGCGGCACCATCATCGGACGATGTCGACGAGTTGGGTCGCTCTCGCGGTAGCCAGATGACCTCTCATACTAGGAGCATCGGCCATGGCCGCAGGGAGCGCGGGGGAGGGCGCTGGAAGCAACACGGAGCTCCGTTGGAGACGTTTTCAAGATTAGCGTGTCAGAGTGAAATGGCACTAGCCCGATCGGTCCGCTCTCCCGCTCAACTCGCTTCGCTCTGCAATAAACACGTGTACAACTATCAGAAACACTGCTAAAAAAGCATGCGCGGCGCGGGCGGATGACTAGGGGAGAGAATGCGGAGAGACTAGCTCGCAGGTAGATGTGCTCAGCCAAGGGTAAGGGATGAGGGGAATGTGTGTCAGTGTGAGGGGTGCACCAACCGCATTTTGCCTTTGAAAACTGAACAGTTTTTTTTGCTAAAAAAGCATGTAACACAGAGAGAGAGAGAGAGAGAGAGAGAGAGAGACCGCCAATGGCCGTTATCCGTTAGTGCGGACGTCGCCGCGGCTCGCCTCTGCCGCGGCGGCTGCTGCGCGCACGCGGCGGCGCCGCTCTCTCGCGAGACGGCTGGCGACGCGGCTCGCCGCCGACGTACGGTGCGCTCGTCCGACGGTCCGCTGCGTGGCGTGCGCGGCGCTGCGCACCGCTCTGCGAGCGCTTCTGCGCCTGCACTGCCTGTCTCTGTTGCTGCTGGTGGTGGTGGTGCTGCTGCTGCTGGTGCAGATGCTGCTGCTCGCGCGGCGCGGCTCTGCGACTGGGCTCGACGCGCGCGTCGCGAGCGTTTGACGCGGCGGGCGGCGTCGGGCAGGTGCGCTTCTCTCTCGGGTGGTGGTGGTGGTGGTGCTGCTGCTGCTGGTGGTGCAGATGCTCCTGCTGGTGCGGCGCGGCTCTCCAACTCGACTCGGTGCGCGCGTCGCGGCTATCTGACGCGGCGGGCGGCGTCGCGGGCGGCAGCGATCGCGGCTCGACGGTGGAGGATGGTGGACTGGTGGCTGGAGGCTGTGCTGGTGGACCTTTGACTAACTCTCACCCGCCGCCGCTCCGGCGGTGAAGCGGCGGGGATCGTCAGCGGATCGACGACTAGTTCGTGCTCGGACTGCCTCGCAGTCAACCCGTCGTTGAGGCTGGCCATTGCCTGCCTCCGACCCCGGTGTTTTGACACCCAACACTCTACCTTAGCTCCTGAGGGGCGCGTGGTTGTCACCACGTAGTATGACTACAGCCCACCACAGACACCCTCCCCCACTCCTCACGTGTGTTCACACCCTCACCCTCTCCTCTCTCCTCTCTCTCTCTCTCTCTCTCCTCTCTCTCCTCTTGTCTGTGCTGTCTGCCTGACTCAGGCACTCAATCTGCCGATGCGAGATTGTGTGTGGGCTGCTCCGAGGGGGCCCTCTGTGCGATCCGACGGGTAGGGGGGCTGTGCCCGGGCGGTGTCCGGTGTGGAGTCCCCTTCTGATCCCGCCTGGGATGTTGGGTGTGAGGTTGTGGCGGCTTCGATCCCAAGGGGGGGAGCTGATCCCACTCAATAACCAACTCTCAGGGGCAGTAGGTGGGCGAGCTTCAGGCACGCTCATCTCGATCGTCAAGACGTCGCTACGCGCGGTCTTCCGCGGGGGGAGCTGCGTCGACGGGTGCGGGACCGCGGCGCAGCCAGTGCCGCGGCGAGGCCTCCGGCTGTTTGCGGCGGGCGGCTTGCTGTTCGCTGCGATGGCGAAAAACTCGTCTCGCCACACGCCAAGGGCTTATGCCCTGGCGAGACGTGAGGCGCATGCGCCCAGGAGGGGAGGGGGCATGTGTAACGACACTGCTAGAGATGCCTTTCGGGGCCCAGAGATAAAACTTCTGTGATGCCATGCGTGACCTAGTAGTGTCCCCAGCTATGGGCGTGTCCACGTTGGAGCCAGGTGTGGTGTGGGCGCGAGAATAGCTCCGCCGTTCATGGAGGCAACCGATGCGAGTCGACTGGTGTGTGTCGTCGTGGTTTCGTATCAAGACTTCTCTCTCTCTCATGTAACACAGGTGTCGAGTGGGCGCAGTGTCTCCTGTCCCATCTCCTAGGAGGTTCGTTTTATTTATTTATTTATTCGCAATGCCTCTGGCCACACCGTATTTTGCGTATCGGAAGTCCTCTGTGACAGAGCACAGAGGACGATACGGCACAGAGGGGACGATACGGCGGCCGTATAGTCCCTGTATAGTCCTCTGTCACAGAGGACTATACCGTGGCCAGAGCTCTGTCCCGTCTAGAGCCGTACCACCGTCACTCGAGAAAGCGCTCCACGGCTGTTGCTGCGTCGGCGCGCAGTTTGCAGCTCGGCCCCTCGCCGCTCTCGTCTTTCCCCAGAATCTTATACCTGCCACACGTCACCAGGTGGAGTGAGGCGATGTGGGCTGTGGGGCGAGAGTCGGGGGTCGCACGGGTCGGTTGGGTGCAGCGAGGAGGGGCGCCACCGATTCTCCGCCACGAGACGGTAGACGCCGTCGCGCACGGGCGCCGGCACGGACACGAGGCTGCTCGCGAGCACGTTGAGCGCCGGTCTCTGCAGTACCTGACCCACGCGGAGGGCAGCGGACGACTGCGTGTAGAACGAGCCGTCCCTGTCGATCACCACGAAGGTGGAGAGATCGTCTGCGGACCGGCCGCACGACTGCAGCAGCTCGCGACCACGCGACGACTGCAGCGAAGCGAAGCAGAAGAGCCCGCCTGGGTCGTTGTCAAGCACGAACGTGACCCAGCGGTTGCAAAAGTTGCACACCCCATCGAAGAGGATGATGCCAGCGCGGCCGTCGGGCACCGTACCCGGCGGTACAACGCCCGAGAGAGGCCCGCTCACCGCGCCTCGCAGCGGCTGATGGCGCATCGCAACCACGCGCCTCGAGGCGAGAGGCGGGCCCACGCGCAGCGCAGCGGCACTGGAGAGAAGGAGCGAGGCGAGCATTCTTGGTGTACCTCTGTTAGTGCCAGAGCGAGCGAGCGAGCGAGCAGCTGTGTGTCGCTTCTTGTAAAATTCTTGGGATAAAGTTGAGAGAGATTTTTAAAGACCAACAAGAAATCACCACCCGTAAAATTGACGCACTGAAGACGGCATGGAGGGTGAGCCACACCGAACGTACCGAGCGAAGAGCCGAGCGGAAGGAGGACGGGGAAGATGACTCCGAGGAGGACGAACCAGTGGAAATCCAGTTGTCAGATGTCACGATGCATCCGAAGGGGACCCCAGCGCCGGCATCATCCGTAGAGGCACGAGTGTTCGAAGAGAGAGTGGACCTGAGCAACAACATGACCTGTAGGCAAATGATCGGAGTGGGAGTCAGAAACGTGGTCCTTGCGCGAGGGGAGCTCGATAGACTCGAGGGGCCAGGATACGCCGCGAGGAGGACGGAGTTGCGCCGAAAGGCGAAAGAAGCCGCGAGAACAAGGGACCGGCAGGCGGCGGCGTCACAGGACGAGGCAGAAGGGAACGACGCGACAGAGAAGGAAATGACAAGGGAGAGAACGACGAGAGTGGGACGACCGCGAGGTGGCATGAAGGTTGCAGCGAGAATCGGAGAGAGACTGCGAAGAGAGATAGGAAGAGGCAGACTCCCTAGGGTGGGCGACGGCTAGCGCACCACACACCTCTCCTTAAAATCCCTGTGTGGTGGCGGCGTGCCGTCCTCCCATCCCTCCCTTGGGTTGTCTGTTTTCTTTCTTTCTTTTCTGAAGATGGGACCCTGAAAATCCCTGTGTGGTGGCGGCGTGCCGTCCTCCCATCCCTGCGTCATGGGGGGTAAACCCTGCCCAGCCCAGCCTCCGTGTCGCGATGCGCTCCCCACTCCCGTTCCCCAGTGTCCCTGATCGTCCGCCTTGAAAATATCTTTTCCGCGAATCGTTTCATTCCCGGCAAAGGCAACTTTGCGCTCGTCCAATGGCGGCAGCAACGGCGATAGCTCGCGTGTGATCTCTCGCACCGCATGGCGGCCGACAGGGTCGAGGGCGGGGCGCACACGCTCCCACCAATCGCGGAGGCCTCGGTCAGCAGTGAGGCGAGCGGCGACACGCAGCAGAAGCAGCAAATCCTGAGCAGCATCTCTGCTGCCCTCTCCGCCGCGGACACCGAGAGGGTGGTGGCTGGCCTGATGCAAGCGGATAGGGTGCGCCGCCCACCCCTGCCTGCCACTTGCCTCCTGCTGTGGCCCCGCGCCTCGCTCTCACTCGCGCCTCGCTCCCGCTCGCGTACCGGCTCAGCATTCGGTTCCTCTGCCTCTGGCGCTCGAATTGCAAGTGGAGGCTCGGGTGCAGTAGATGCTGAGTGCAGTTTCGTGTAGCAGCTTGGAGCCAGGCCATGGACGAAAGCTCTTAACGTGGCCCCCGTCGTCACACGACACCCACGAGTGCATGGCTGTGTTCGAGCTGCAGCCACCGCGTGATGAGATGACCCTGCCTTCACCTCCAGGCTCTGATCGCTGCGACGGAATCGCGGGGGGGGAGAGATCCTGCTGCGCCGGTGATTACATGCAGCACTGGCGTAGCGGCTGGGGATGCCATCAAAGGCCGCGACGCGGCGAACGAGGCAAAGCGGGCGCTGCCGAGTGGAGGTGGCGGTATACCAGATGCGGCCTCGCGGCTCGCTCGTCGCAGGCGGGCTGGCAGAGCTGCCGGGGGCGGACGGGCTCGCTGAGGCTGAGGCCGATGGGGGTGGGCAGGCTGGCCGGCCGGCGGCTCGATTCGCCGCGCCCCTCTGGAGGCGACTTCGGGCTGCGAGTACCGTCGCCAGTGCGGCTGCAGCAACTAGGAGCAATACTGGTTTGGAGGCGGTGGACTGTGCTGACAAATCGACGGTGTGGGAAGTCGATGGAGGGCCAGAGGGGGGAGTGAACGGTGTCGCGCTGGATGCAGCGCCCTCTGATGGCGAGCAGCTCCTCCTCTCCTCCTCGCGCCTCTTCAACCCGACGACCGTCCGGTGACGCCCTCTGCCAAACCCCAACAAACGGGAGCCAAGAGACGCCGTCTCGCCGCTCTCTCGCTGTTGTCTCTTCTGCCACCGCCCTCGACGCCCCCCCTCCCTTTGCTATCTTGCCCGACACCGCCCTGCCCCTCAGGCGGGCGGCGGCCTCCATTGGCATCGACCTCGCTTCGCCGTCGATCGACACGCTGGTGGCCGAGTGCCGCTTGCTACCATACGCCATCGCACTCATGCGTGCGCCGCTGCCGAGTGGCTGGCGCGAAGTGTCCGTCAACGGGGACATTGCCTTCCAGGACCTCGAGTCGCGAGAAGTGCGCCGCATCCACACACACACACACACACACACACACACACACACACACACACACACACACACACACACACACACACACACACACACACACACACACACACACACACACACACACACACACACACACACACACACACACACACACACACACAGCTCTTCCCACCCGTCCCTCCCCCTTGGCCCCTGGCGCTGAGGGAGGGTGTAGAGCATGTAGAGTGTAGAGCGCTGTAGAGCTGTAGAGCTGTAGAGCGTTGTAGAGCGCTGTGAGCGCTGTAGAGCTGTAGAGCTCTACGACCGATGCAGATGTAGAGCGCTATATAGGCCCTCTACAGCGCGAAATCTCTACAACAACTCACCATCACGGTCGCTCTCCGACATGAGGCGCGTTGCGCTTTCCACAGTGCTGCCCTGGGCCTGGCCTTCTGTTGCCCGCCCAATGGGTGGCGCAGGTGCCGTCTGGCCGAAGGCTCTTCCAGCCATATCTCGTGGTGTGTGTACACTGCACAGTGGTTTCTTTATCTACATCGATGTCATGTATGTCACGAGGCCCCGCCGTGCAGGGCGCTACGGGCTCCCTCCGGCCGAACGGGTGCCTCTGCTGCAGTGGCATGCCTCACGGCTGCGACTGGCCGGTGCCTCGGCGCGTCAGCTCGGCTCGGCGTAGCGATCGTGGCCAGCGCAACTCGCCTGGACTCAACGCTCAGCCAGGAGCTCCCGCACGCGCTGGCGCGAGTCATGGCGCATGCAACGCGCAGCAACTGGCGGGAGCGGCGAGTCAGCACGCAACGCCGTTGGAGCGGCCGCAGGCAGGGGGGCGCGGGGCTGTGCGAGCTGTGCGTCGCTGCTCAGGCGTAGTCGCGCACCCAGAGGTGAAGGCAGAGGTCACCGCGAGCATAGCTGTGTGGGAGAATCCCCGAAGCTGAGAATCCCGAAGAAGAAAACGCGGCTCGCTGACATCAAGGTCGCTGCGTCCTGCGAGAATTGAAAGAGGAAGAGGCAGACGCTCAAGGGTGGGCGACAGCTAGCACCATACTCCTCCCCTTAAAATCCCTGTGGCGGCGTGCACACACACACACACACACACACACACACACACACACACACACACACACACACACACACACACACACACACACACACACACACACACACACACACACACACACACACACACACACACACACACACACACACACACACACACACACACACACACACACACCGACCTCCCATCCCTCCCGCTCCCCCTTGGCCTGGAGAGGAACTTGAGATCCCCTGCGTTTCTAAGTCTTAAGCGCCAGATGGCGCGGGGGCAGCTCTGTTTCGCTCCCCTTCCTTTGCTTGGCTCCACTCGCTAACGCTCGGCTCCCCTCCGGGTCCGCTCGGCGTCAATCCGAAGCACAAGGGTCTCGG